TCTGAAGACTTTGAAAGTGAAGAAATTGGTGTGACCTTGAAGACTTGGTATTCATTCGAGGAACATGAAGCGTGAAGACTTTTGTTTTCGTAGTTTCATTTTCTCTTTCTTGGGTCATAGGAAACACCGTACTGTTAAAGGGGGTCGAGGAAATACTAAGGAAAAATTTCCATGTGATGCTCAACTCAAAATCCTACACCTACCAATCCCTTCGAGTGAAGCCATTGGAAATCTCATATAGTTCAGTCATATTCTTCAGTGACAGAGACGAAGTTCTTCTGGTCTCTAAGGAATTTGTTCTGACTGAGGAGTTAGAAATTCTCCAGTGCGAATTGTCTACATAGTGAGGAACATGATAGTCTTGAGGATTTTGATAGTCAAAATTCCAACCGTTGCTGTGCCATGCGCCAACTGTTCCAAAATATCTACCCACCTAACGGTCATATCAAACAAGGGCATTTATGTCTTATCATGTTGGGCTGCTCCCTAGGCTATAAATAGCCGCCCCCTACAACCACTAGCTGGTTGGCTGCTCCGAGAGAAACTGACACTTGTCATTTGAGAGCATCCCATCCTCTGAGGACTTTGAGCGAAAATCATCAAGTGAGGAAAACCCAAACCCAACACCTACAAACCCAAAGTGATTGAGCATCATTGAAGAGATTGATCCTGCATGGATCCGACGCTTGTTTCCTTTGAAGACTGTGCTTCTTCCAGATGGTTAGGCATCAAGGTCTAGAGCATCCAAGAGGAATTGTGGATCACCGAGTGACCGAGTTTGTGAAGGTTTGGAAGTCACGTAAAGACTTACCACGAGTGATTGGGCGAGGTCTGTGTGACCTTAGCTCAAGGAGAATACGGTGATGACTGTGTGTCCGGGACTGGGTGTCCTCGAGTTTAAATACTCAGCCGCTCCAACCAGATGTACAACTGAGACAGCAGTTGGAACTGGTCTACCAAATCATTGTCTTCATCGAGCTTACTGGTTCTATTTCCTCAACTCTTTCATTTCCTCATGTCTGTTGTTGTGTGCCTGTTCACATCTGTTTGAAGACTTTGACTGAAGACTTTCTCAAATTTCCTCAGTTCAATTTCTTCAGTCTGTCCGTCTTCTTTCTTGTGTTATCTTGTGTTTACGCTTTCTGTACTCTGTGCTTGTCTTCATTTCATCATGATGACTATGCTTGTACTCTGTTATGTTTACTTCTGAGTACTTATTCCGCTGCTAGTAGTTCTTCATTTAGGAATTTCCTCACCAGCAAATTCCTCAGTGAAGAATTCATAAAAATCACCTATTCACCCCCATCTAGTCGATATAACGCACTTTCACTTCATCACGGCTGAAAGATCGAGGAAGTCGCCTAGAGGGGGGGGGGTGAATAGGCGCTTTAAAATTATTACGGTTTAGGCTTGAACAAATGCGGAATAAACCTAGCGGTTAATTTGTTAAGCACAAAACCTAAAACAACTAGGCCCACCTATGTGCACCAACAACTTATGCTAAGCAAGATAAGAAACTATGTGATAGCAAGATATATGACAAAGAACAATATGGCTATCACAAAGTAAAGTGCATAAGTAAAGGGCTCGGGTAAGAGATAACCGAGGCACGCGGAGACGATGATGTATCCCGAAGTTCACACCCTTGCGGATGCTAATCTCCGTTTGGAGCGGTGTGGAGGCACAATCTCCCTAAGAAGCCACTAGGGCCACCGTAATCTCATCATGCCCTTGCACAATGCAAGATGTCGTGATTCCACTAAGGGACCCTTGAGGGCGGTCACCGAACCCGTACAAATGGCGACCCTTGGGGGCGGTCACCAAACCCGTACACTTTGGCAACCTTTGGGGGCGGTCACCGGTACCCGTCAAATTGCTCGGGGCGATCTCCACAACCTAATTGGAGACCCCGACGCTTACCCAGAGCTTTACACCACAATGATTGAGCTCCGAATAACACCAATCGTCTAGGGCGCCAAGGCACCCAAGAGGAACAAGCTCTAGGGTGTCCAAACACCCAAGAGTAACAAGCTCAAGGGTACCAAGCACCCAAGAGTAATAAGCTTCTCAACTTGTAACTTCCACGTATCACCTGGAGAACTCAAACCGATGCACCAAATGCAATGGCAAGGGCACACGGAGTTCCCAAGTCCTTCTCTCTCAAATCCCACCGAAGCAACTAATGCTAGGGGGAAGATGAGAGGAAGAACAAGAAGGAGAACACCAAGAACTCCAAGATCTAGATCCAAGGGGTTCCCCTCACATAGAGGAGAAAGTGATTGGTGGAAATGTGGATCTAGATCTCCTCTTTCTTTTCCCTCAAAAGCTAGCAAGAAATCATGGAGGGATTGAGAGTTAGCAAGCTCGAAGAAGGTCAACAATGGGGGAAGAGCACGAGCTCAAAGGATAAGGTTCATTGGGGAAGAAGACCCCTTATATAGGAGGGGGGAAATCCAACCGTTATGAGCTCAGCCCGCACACGAGCGGTACTACCACTTGGGCGGAAGAAGCAGGGAAAAGGAGCAGCAAAACATGAACCTTGGGGCGGTAGTACAGCTTACAAGCGGTACTACCGCTCACCCCAGCGGTACTAGCGCTGGAGGAGCAGAGCACGGGACCAAAGGAGGCAGGACAGAGCAGAGTACGGTGGCAGTAGTGCAGTAGCGGTACTACCGCCCGACCGGAGCGGTACTACCGCTTATAGGCGGTACTACCGCCCATTCTGGGCGGCACTACCGCTTATAGGCGGATCTGCCGTGCCTTACTGCCGTGCGACTACTACTGAACCTGACACGAAAAGAGCAGACCCAAAAACGAGGCGGTAGTAGAGCGGCATAGGAGCGGTACTACCGCTTGACGCTACAAGCGGTACTACCGCTGGCTCCGCGGTACTACCGCAGGGAGAAAAACAGAACTGCCATAACTTCTTCATATGAGCTCCGAATTGAGCAAACTCAAGCTTGTTGGATACAAGACAACGAGTAGCATCAAAACAATGGCTGGTTGTAGTAAGAAGAGGCAGGGGAGGTATGCCCCTAACAAAAATAGGAGAGAAACCTCCAACAGAGAAGAACCGCCAGAATCTCCAACATCGAAAACATCATAGAAGATGCATGTGAACTCCGTTTTCGATGAACTCGAGCTTGTCGTCAAGATGACCATAAGCTCCAAAACTCACAAAGAGAACCAAACAAGAACCAAGAAAGATGATGCAAGGATGCAATGGTTTGAGCTCTCTACAAATGATACGATCAAGTTACTCATCAAGAGCCCCCCTTGATAGTACAACAATCGAACCTAAAACCCGGTCTCCCAACTACCATCATGAGACCGGTAAAATGGAAAACCTATCAAGGGGAAACCTTTGCCTTGCACATGGTCCACTTGAGCTAGGTTATGACGATCTTGACTCCCTCAAGTTGGACCACCTTTCTTGATTGCCTTGGCTCGATGAAGACTAGTTGATTGCTCCCCCATACTCCACTATGGGTGAGCCACTCTTCCGCACATCTTCACAAGTCCATTGTCACCACAATGGACGGCAAGCTTCAAGCATTTGATCTCTTCGTGATGCTTCACTTAAACTTGCACACCACAACCTAACCCCACAAAGAACTCTCACGAAGATCATGGGTTAGTACACAAAGAGTAATTGACAATGCTTACCATACCATGGGATCGCTTGATCCCTCTCGGTACATCTTCTACGCTTTGTGTGTTGATCAACTTGATTCACTCTTTGACTTAGTCTTGATCAACCTCTCACATGATCAATCTTTAGGTAATTCCTTGAATGGCACCTTGGTCATCACAAACTCTCCTTGAAACCAATAAATGGACTCCAAAAAAAGCCTATGGATAAATCCTTCAAATAAAACTCAAGGCAACCATTAGTCCATAGAGATTGTCATCAATTACCAAAAACAAACATGGGGCACCGCATGTTCTTTCAACGGCCTTGGCGGGACAGTGATAGCTCATGTCGTGTTGTCTGGGATGCCCAGATTTATCACTATAGACACTGGCGACGGAAGCGTGAGACTGTCGGATTGTCTCCAAGGTGGGATTTCGATGATGGCGTCTTCTCTCGCTCGACAATCAATGGCTCCGTGGCATACTATTTGCTTGGTTTGTGCATGATTTACAACTTGCGTGGATATCGCGTGTGGATTATACACGGTTATATATTTTTTTCGTTGGTTGCAACTTCTCAATGAGGATGTTCCTCAAAAAAAAAACTTCTTGACGAAGATCAACGTTGCTCTTTTATTTCTTTTTCATCCGCCTATACATGGCGTCGGTCTTCTATGGCTTCGCTATCTGCCGGCGTGATCTTTTATGTGTGTTGGTGTTGTCTGTGTGCATCCTAACTACACAGAGATGGAGTGTATGCTCATCGTGTTTTCTATTTCCTTGATGCTTCATTATGAGTTAATAAAAGCATTCTTTTCAAAAAAAGAAGAAGTCAACAAGCTTAACACGTCGAGAATGACTTCTTTTTAGAACAATCAGCCATGCTTTACTACTGAATAGGGATGTTTTCAGCAACGACAATAGGATGATGAGAGTATCCTGACCACACATGTCCCATGCCTAGCCAACTTGTGAGTTTTGGAATTTGAGCTTCTTGACATCCACTCCTTAATCTGCTTGACGACTCCACCATAATTTCCTTGAAATCCTTCAAATATATATATGGTTGACAGCAGTTTTTTTTTTTTGGAGAAACGACAGCAGCTTTGCAGTCTGAAGCAACGAAAAGATGTTGATCTTCAGCAAGTGACAATGCTTGGGCCACCAATCCACCACGATCACAGCCCAGCGCTGTCAAGGTCCCCGACTCCGACGGAAAGGCCTGGCCCATGAGAAGCTCCGACCGCCGGGACGGGCGTCCGTTCTACTAGCCTTCTTCTTCCACCTCCGCCTCCCTCCACCTCTTCACCGCCGGCCGCCGCCTTCCGCTTCCTAAACCCCTTTGCGGGAGCCCCTTTCCCCGCGCCATGCGGTCCCTTGCGCGGCCACCGAGGCCGCCCAAGCCCCTGCCCCCGCTCGCCGCCTTCGTCCAGTCCATGGGGTACGTGGAGGTGAAGATGCGGTGGAAGAAGGACGCGTCCTTCGATGCCGTCCCGGTGCTCGCGCACGCGCGGGACCTCCGCCCGCTCGCCTCCCTCGCGCGCCTCCTCTCCCCGTCGCCGACCCCCGTCTCCGCGGTCTCCAAGCTCCGCCGCTCGCTCGAGACCTCCGACCGCCGCGTCGCCTCCTTCCTGCGCCGCTTCCCCGCGGCCTTCGTCGAGTCCGTCGGGCCCGAGCACAACCACCCCTGGTTCCGCCTCTCGCCCTCCGCCGCGCGCCTCCAGCGGGAGGAGCGGGACGTCTTCGCCGCCCGCCGCGCCGACATCACCTCCCGCCTTCGCCGCCTCATTCTCATGTCCCCGGCCCGCCGCCTCCCGCTCACCGTCGCGCAGGGCATGCTCTGGCTCCTCGGCATCCCGGAAGACTACTTCAAGCGCCCGGATTTCGACATTGGGCAAGATGGATTCAGGATTCTGACCACCGGAGATGCTGTATTTTCCGAGGATGAGAACCATGGGAAGGAGCTGGGGCTCATCGACGATGGGAAAGATCAAGAAATGCCACTGTCGGTGCTTCAAATGGGTGCCATACGGAGGTTCGGATCGGCAGAGGAGGTGCCCTTCCCGCTGTTCCCGTCCAAGGGTCTTCGGCTGAAGCGGAAGATTGGAGACTGGATGGAGGGATTCCAGAAGCTGCCTTATATCTCTCCCTATGAGGATTTCAGCAACATCCATCGGGGTAGCGATGTTTCAGAGAAGCGGGCGGTTGGGGTGCTCCACGAGCTGTTCAGTCTGTTTGTGACATGCTCTGCCGAGAGGCGACGGTTACTCTGCCTCAGGACACACCTGGGGCTGTCACAGAAGTTTCATCTGGTGTTTGAGCGGCACCCGCATATATTCTACTTACTGTTGAAGGAGAAAACGTGCTTTGTTGTCCTCAAAGAGGCATACATGGCTGGGGGACACACATCAATTGAGGAGCATCCCATGCTGGAGGTGCGGAGCAAGTATGCCAGGTTGATGCAGGAGTCACAGGAGATCATAAGGCGCCGGCGAAGCGGGAAGCCGGTACAGTTGGATCCTGAGGATCAAGAGAGTGAGGATTCGAAGGGTGTAAATTCAGCTGCAATCCCTTCATAGGATGTTTACTATTTTTGACTGATCAGAGAATAAGGAAATGGGCAATACAGCTTTTTACGGATTTTTGCAACAAGAATGAGGGGGCTTTACCCTTGGAAGCAGCAAATTTGCATGCAAATAAAGGAGTTGTGCGCCTATGCAAAGGGGTTTGTGCAGTATCTATGATTTACAGTGTTCATCTAGAGGTTCTAGATTAGTTGACTGACACTTGGTGATAGGCTGATAGCTTTAGTCCAAATTTCTTCTGGTAGATGTAGAGTGAGGTGATACATGACGCAATATGCTTGGCAAATGACTTTTACTTGTTCACTGAATGCTGTTGTGACTTTCCAATGTATTTCTTGAACATCTTTTCTTCCTGCTTACAAGTGAAAACTAACAACAGAAAGTGTGCAAGTGCTATTCTTGATTGGGAAACTTTTTAGGAAAACGCCGCAACGTCTACCGGCAAATAACAGGCAAGATCTTTTCTTAATATTAATTAAGCTTGAACCATTTAAATGCTTGGTGTCGAAGCTTTAAGGGAAAAAATAAATATATTTCTTGGATCATATTACGTTGGTATGCGCAGAATAAATAAATTGTTGATGATATAATAGAAGTTGCTGCCTTCTAAGGTGTAGTTTTGGTGTGTGGCCCAGTGTTGTTGTTTGGGGTAAGGTGAACTCGTCATATCTGACAAAACATATATAAAGATCTGAGTTGGTGGTGGTCCATTCACCCTCAGAGATTGCCTCTTAAGTCAGCAAGAAATTAGTTACTGCAATTATCATACATTCTATGTAGCAGACATATCGCGATCTCATATTTAGTTGTTGATTTGGTTGATGCATACCTCTTTTTTTTTTACCTGCACAGAGTTAGAGACTACGATGACCGAAACATTTAACCAACTCATGCAATAAAAATACTTCTTAGCAATGCACGAGCATATATTATCTGTAGCATTGCACGGGTATTTAGCTAGTCCAACAAGACATTGCTGTTATGCTTCTTAGCAGAAGTTAACGAATAACCAAGCAGGTGAAATTAGTCTCGTGAATTAGTTTCTCTGAAAGGTACCATCTTAGACATGCATGAATTACTATAGCTTTGTTCTATAGTTAATTACTTACTCTCCACATATAAAATTTACTAAGATTATGTGCTCTATAGGATAGGTAAGATCGGCTGAACGGGTTGCGAATTTGGCTGGTGGCTAGATTACAGTACTATCTCACCATAGGTTTTGCTCCTTATCTTTCCATTGACGCTTCAGTATTCTGCAAGTTATCTTTTGAGGAGTTGCTACGAAACACTATACTATTGATTTTACAAGATGATAGTGACAGGGTCCTCACATTATGCCTTCAAGATCATCATAGTAATTTTAACAATTTTAGTCATATAAATATATTATTATCCTATATTTTGTTGTATGTGTATAATTGGACCGCTAGTTACATGCGGTTGATGCCGCATTTAGTTATTCACTGAGAAATGCTATATATGGGTTATGTGGTAGAGGCGTAAAGTTGCAAAATCGATCACAAGACATCTATTTTTGAGAAGTGAACCACGTAGTTGGCACTTGGAGCATGGAGTCTATCATTGTACGTTCCAATGATCTGTTGCTGGACAAGTATGAGCACTGGATATGTTTATTGATACTTCCGTATCAGAGTATTTATGTCTACTCTCTAGATGAACATCTACACCTACGACCATCAGTTAGTCTGCCCTGGCAGTTGTACATATTTGATACAAAGCTAATGAATTGCCAAAAGTGAGATATTTCTTATCGGCTGGTGCGATGTTCATCTAATAGTTGTTGTTAGGGTGCTTCTCTTTGGCTGTGGTTTCTGAATCAGCATTAGGTGCCCAGTTATGTGCTCCAGGGAAGATGTTCCTTGGTAGGGCCCACCTTACCCAGGAAAATCATTGCCCTGTGCCCAGTTATGTAAAACGGCTGGCAGGTTCTCCACTCATATTAGCAAATTCTGCTCCAGATGTTGCATAGAGGAGGATGATCTTCACCTCTTTTTCCTGTGCCACTTCGCAAAGGCTGCTTGGTTCTCACATCCTTCGTTTCTATGATCAAAAGGCTTAGTACAGAACTCTAGAACTGTTCGCATAGAGAAGGATGATCTTCACCTCTTTTTCCTATGCCACTTTGCTAAGGTTGATTGGTTCTCACATCCTTGGTTTCTAAGGTCAGATAGCTCAGTTCAAAAAATTAGAACTGTTCCTGAGATCATTCATAGCCTGCTTACGTCTGATCATCCACGTGTTTCCCTAGCAGCATTTTAACTTTTATGTGGTGTATTTCGAAGTCCAATGATCTCTTTGCAGGAAAGCAGGATCTCCTTTTCAGGTTGTTCATGCAGCACAAGCAATCTCACATTGCTTATCCCCTGAAACCCAAGCAGATGCCATGGCTCAACGGAGCAGTGCAAGTTTGTCTTGGGGTCCCTGTTAGGCAGAAAAGTTAGAAGCATTTTCAGATACCCATGAAGGTTAATTTCCCATGCTGTAGCGGAGCAGCTTAAGTAGGAGCTTGATCTGGTTGTTTTGCTTTGTATTTCAGCCGGGAAACATATAGTAGCTGGAGTCTTGCAGTTAGTTTTTGTATTGTAGTTGTGTCTGTGCTGGCGCCTTTCTGTAGTTGCTGGGGTTGGCTCGTTTATGCCTTCTGTTTTTGAGCTCGTTTATGCTGGTGATGCACTGTAATTTGCTGAAGGATACTGTTTTATCAGTTTTTACAATGAGTGGGAATTGGGGACAATGCTCCTCAATTCGAAAAAAAAGGATATCCATGAAGTATAGTTGAAAACATGCAAGAGATAGATTGTCCATTATCTCAGCTTATCGAGTTCTTTAGAGAGCATGTTTTGTGTAGAATTTCCAACATTCCAGTTATGTGTATGTTAGACATGCATTTTGTTGGATGTAAAGGAGTACCAATAATGCGGTTTGCAGGCCTCTTTCGCCAAAGCCGTGGAAAAATGTGACTGACCGCTGCTCTCGTGAAAGTTGAGCTGCAAGTGATTTGCAGGCATTCAGCAGGTAATCCGAGTTTAATACAATGATACTTTTTTCTCCTGATAATAGATAGGAGGAACTTCTGTCCTTTTCCACAGAAGATTATATATCAAGGTGTTTCATTTACCATTGATAGGTCTTTGGTTTCCGCAGAAGCGAATGCCTGTTGGATGAATTGTCTGAAGCTAAAGAAACTCCGTTCACTGCTAGAAGGAGTTGGTAAAATAAGAGTTCATGATTCAGAAGTCTTAACCTATTTACATGTTCATGGTGAGCTAGTAACAGAGAGGGAAATCATGTTCGCTTAATTGAAAGATCAAAGGTTAGCACTAGGCTTATTTTTTCTAATCTTTCGAGTTGAGAAAGGCATGCATGGCATGTCACCTTCTGGTAGAAGGGGGGGCTTCTTCAACAGCGACGGCGTTTTCCGGAGAGGGAGCCTCGGCGCCGCCTCCTCGGGGCTAGAGGGAACAAAGAGCAAGCGGGAGGGCCCAGTTCTCGCGACGACGATCACGTGGGATTTCATTTTATTTTTCTGTGTTGTCATGTGGAAGATAGCAAGTTAGTAACATTAATTTGTACTTCCATGCTGATATCACTCTGTTCAGTTAAGGTGAACAGGTCCACCCTACAAACAACCATCGTAGATCTTAATCATGTCCCCACGAAAATGAACTGGGATGTTGCTGTTACTCAAGCTCTTAAGATGATGAAAGGGAGGCAAACCGAACAACTTGGTTTTACCTTTACCGAAAAAGGCTCGCGCCCCGCTTTATATATAAAGCCAATGCCAAAGCCAACATCCAACAAGGTTCACACACACACAAAGTCCACACGCACACAAAGTCCAAGCAAAAGCAAGCATCAAGGGTTACTGTTGAGGGCACAGCTCAACAAGCCCAACACACACACACAAAAAGGCACACGCGCCAGGAGGGAAACATCCTCTAGTCGGGCTCCGGGGGTGGCGGCGGGAGCGGAGGCGCCAGGCGAAAGGCCAACGAACGGAGGTCGGTGAGGAGTCTGTTGATGGCGTCCCGGTCCAGAGGGCGGCTAAGCGGCCGCCAGAGCTGCAAGTAACCACACATTTTAAAGATGGAGTCAGTCGCACGCTGAAGGGGCACCTTCTGAATGACAAGCTTATTGCGAACCGTCCACAGGGTCCAGGCTAGAACCCCGACGCGCAGCCATCTAATATGTCTATAGCGAGGGGGGAGGCTTGAATTTCCGCAAGCAGGTCAGGGAAGTTGGTGTTGCACCACTGTCCCCCAACCGTTTCGCGGAAACAAGACCAAAGGAACTGTGCCGTGTAGCACGAGAAGAAGATGTGATTAGCGTCCTCTACCGTGCCACACAGGGGGCACATTCCATCGCCAGGACCATGGCGCTTAAGAACCTCAACACCGGTCGGGAGGCGGCCGCGGATCCATTGCCAAAGAAAGATCTGAATCTTAAGTGGGAGGCGGATGTCCCAGATAAGACCGAAGGGCTCCGGGGCTGACGAGGGGGCAATAGCCGCGTAGAGGGATTTGGTGGAGAAGCGACCGGAGGGATCTAGGCGCCAGGAGATGGCGTCCGGAGAGTCAGCCACATCCATAGGTAGCAGGGCGATGTCCTGGAGGAGGACATCCCAGGCAGCCACCTCAGCGGGGCCAAAAGGGCGGCGGAACGCGAGGCACCCTAAGTCAATAAGGGCCGCCTCGACTGAGACCCGAGGGTCAACTACAATGTCGAAGAGGATGGGGAACCGGACGGCTAGAGGGGAGTCTCCGAGCCATCTATCCAGCCAGAACAAGGTCGAGGCTCCAGAGCCCACAGAGATGGATGTGCCTATACGCAAGACCGGCAGCAGCTGGATGACGGCCTGCCAAAACTGGGAACCGCCCGAGCGTTGGCAGAACGCCAGTGGCTGTCCACGCAGGTACTTGTTCTGGATGATAGTGAGCCAGAGGCCTCCATCCCCATTGGCGATGCGCCAGAGCCAGCGGGTCAAGAGGGCGATGTTCATGCGCCGAGAGGACAGAATCCCAAGACCGCCCTGGTCTTTGGGTTTGCAGATATCTGGCCAGCTGACCATGTGGTATTTCTGCTTGCCCTCCTCCCTAGCCCAGAAGAATCTGGACTGGTATTTGGCGACCTCCTGGTGGAGCGTTTCATGAAGGCTATAGAAGCTCATGAGGAACCACAGGAGGCTAGCTAGCGATGAGTTGATAAGGATCACGCGCGCCGCCTTCGATAGCCAACGCCCTTTCCAGGGCTCTACGCGATGTTGCATACGGGTCACCGTGGGGCGGAGGTCCGCCACGGTGAGGCGCGAGTCACTAATGGGGATCCCCAGATAGGTCGTGGGGAAAGAACCCAGCCGACAGTTAAGCCGGTCGGCAATGGACTGAGCGTCCTCAGAGGGGTAACCAAGCACCATCACTTCGCTCTTATCGAAGTTGATGGTGAGGCCCGACATTTGTTGGAAGCACAGAAGAAGGAACTTCAGGTTGGATATCTCTAGGGCGGAACCCTCGACCATAATACTGGTGTCGTCCGTGTATTGGAGGAGGGAAACCCCTCCCCCTCCAACAAGGTGCGGGACAAGGCCTCTAATATGTCCAGCAGCCTTGGCCTTATCCAAGATGGCGGCCAGGGCATCCACAACCATGTTGAACAAGAACGGCGAGAAGGGATCTCCCTGCCGGACCCCGCAGAGGGTAGGGAAGAAGGGCCCAATGTCGCCGTTGATGTTCACCGCAGTCCGACCACAGGAGACGAGCTGCATGACGCGGGTCACCCAACGGTCATCGAAGCCCTTGCGAAGCAGGACCTCCCTCAGGAACGGCCAGTGCACCGTGTTGTAGGCTTTGTGGAAGTCCAACTTAAGAAAGACCGCCCTATGGCGCTTCAGGCGGACCTCGTGGAGGACTTCGTGGAACACCAACACCCCATCCAGGATAAGTCGGCCTTGAATGAAGGCGGATTGGTTCGGTTGGGTGATTGTGTCCGCAAGGAGGGTCACCCTATTGGCGTACCCCTTAGCCAGGATCCGAAAAATCACATTGATCACCGTGATGGGGCGGAACTGGCGAATATCGGAGGCGCCCGGGACCTTGGGGATGAGGGTCACCACCCCATAGTTAAGGCGCCCCAGGTCCATGGAGCCCGAGTAGAATTCCTCAAAGAGAGCCATGACCTCAAGCTTGATGGTGGGCCAGAACGTCTTGAAGAAAGCCACTGGTAGACCGTCAGGTCCCGGGGCCGAGGAGGGGTTCATCCCCTTAATGGCAGCGAGGACCTCGTCCTCGCTGAAGGGGGCAACCAAAGCCGCATTGGCTTCAGCCGAGACTACGTGCGCGCCCGACCAAATGTCGGGGGCGAGACTAGCCCCACCGCGCGGGGTGGGGGTAAATAAGGCCCTATAGAAGCCATCCACATGAGAGCGGATGGCCGCGGGTAGAACTAACGGCGTGTCTCCATCCCACAGGCAGTGGATGGAGTTGCGACGGCGCCGGCCGTTCACGACCGCCTGGAAATAGGCGGTGTTGGCATCGCCCTGTAGCACCCACCTCTGGGTACCACACAAGCGCCAATAGGCCTCCTCATCCGTGTAGATGGTGGAGAGATGGTCCTCCAGGTCGTAACGTAGCAACCACTCGTCCGAGGAGAGCCTGGTCGAGTCCGCGCGAGCATGCAGGGCTTGAATAGCAATCAGGATGGTCTTCTTGCGCTCTCTAAGGTCCCGGACAAGGTTAGCCCCCCAACCCTTCATGAACTGGCGGGCTAGCTTGGCACAAAAGTGCCATGAATCGACCGCGGACATGGAGCGATGGGGTGCCGACCTAGCGAAAATCCAGCGGGCGACAATGGCCTCCCGGAAGCCGGTCTGGTTAAGCCAGAAGAGCTCGAACAGGAACCGCGGCGGGGAGGGGGGCGCTCGTCGGCGGTGGAGAGGAGAAGGGGGACATGATCGGAGCCAATCCGGGTGACCGCCCGGAGCGATGCCAAGGGGCATCGCAATTCCCACTCCGGGGAAACTAGGACACGATCCAACACGGATTGTGTCGGTACAGCTTGCCGGTTGGTCCAAGTGAATCTGGCACCTGTCCGGTCAAGCTCGCGGAGCCCCAGCTCCGCGATCCAATCGTTGAATAATTGCATCCGGGGAAAATTAATTCGGGAATTATTCTTCTCATCCAGGGATCGGATGAGATTGAAGTCATCCCCAACTAAAACTGGGAAGGGAGAGTTAGAGATCTTCAGCTGCAACTCGTCAAGGAAGGCCGGGGAGCGGCGGTGGTTCGCCGGTCCGTAGACAACAATGACCTCCCATTTGAAGTTCAGGGCCCGCTCGAAGATCTCCATACTAACGAAAAATTCCCCTCTGTCCA